CCTGCTGTTGGATAAAGGCGTTTTATCTCTACCCCAGTCCTCACTTCTTTCCACTTGAAGAACTCACCCACCCACTTGTTTCTATAATTCCAAGAAAGGCCCTACAAGTTCAGAGAGATGGCCCTAGGAGGGCTTATAAATCCAGGTCCAAATGTCATCTTGTAGAATATAGTCTTCTTTGTGTCCTTTGTATCCATCCAGTCTTCTTAAAGATGAGGAATTTTAAACTAATGGTGTTTCCATTTATCATAATGATGGGTACCTTTCAAAGTAGGTCGTATTCTCATTTGTCTTTTACCTATTAGACTAACTTCTGTTTGAACAAAAACCTGCAATCTATTTTCTCTATTTCTACACAATCTAAATGAAAGCAATTCATTTTCCCTTTCAAGGGAATATCTGCACACAACTACTTTAGTAGTTCAAAGGAACTTCACCTGGTTGCTCCCATGCTAACAGATATATTTGAATATTGGATATTTATTCCCTAAATGCTTTCTAAAACAGAAAAAGAAGAAAAAAAAGGGCACTATTACCTTTGCCAGAGTTTTTGGTTTTGGTACATTTGCATTCACATCTTGAACTTCATGGGGTAATTCCACTCCAAAAGACCAACCTCCAAGCCTGTTACCAGCAAACATCATGTTAGTGCATTAACCAGGGAACACCAGGGTCTCTTACCAGAAGAGTTTCATGATCAATCACTCCGGTTACAGGGTCTCAGGACAGTAACCAAGTGAACATCTGTGCCTGTGATAGGAGCTTGCAGGCTGAGGCAGTGTGATGACCCAGTTGAACTGGCTCCCAACCCAAGCATCCAAGAAGGGCATTGCTCATCGAGAAGGTCTGGATGGGCTTGCCACATTAGAAAGTGTGTCATTCTTATAGAAAATATGTGCTGTGTACATTATATGGTTCTGCTGCCAACCCATAGCACAGTAGTTAAGTGCTATGCATAGAAAGCTGGCTATCAGGCCAGCCGGTGGCTTAGAAGTTAAGGGACAGGATCCCACATAGCTGACTGTGAAGTTAGAGATCCAGACCCATCAGCTTGAAAAACATCCTGGGTGTGTGGAGGAAAAGGGCCTGCAGCATGACCATTCTTCCTGAAGAGAGTGGTTAATGCTTTCTCACCCTCTACCCCAACTCCCACCTCTTTCTAGCAAGCACATATGTGTGCCCTATAGGAAAAAAATAAAAAATAAAAAAGGCTAATAGCAGGATACCACAAGACTGACTGTGATTCGAATCAGGGCCCTGATGATTTGAAAAAAAAACCACTTGAGGGCTTGTGCACATGCATCTAATATGTGTGCCCTATAGGAAAAAAATAAAAAATAAAAAAGGCTAAAAGCAGGATACCACAGGACTGACTGTGATTCGAATCAGGGCCCTGATGATTTGAAAAAAAAAAAACCACTTGAGGGCTTGTGCACGTGCATCTAAGATCCTGACAGGATGGAAAGGGAGAGGAAAAAAGGACTGCAACATGACCATGTCCTGCTGGGGGTGTTTTCTGTCTCTCTCTTTCTCTCTCTCTCTCTGATGAGTGCACACATCCTCTGGCAATAATAATGAAAGGATGCACAATTGTGATTATCAGCACTCCAATTATTTTAATTAATGGACATTTCCACTAAAGGCCAACTATTCAGAGTTACATATTCTGCTACGACCTCTTGAGCAACCCTGGTTTGTCTTCCTGCTATGCATCTCCCCTCAAAGTCTGCCTGGTTAAGAAAAAAGTTCTAAAACAGTTGAGCTGAGTTAGGTTACCCCTTCAATTCTGAATCCTCAAAATGCCCTGTGTTCCCACCATTGTATCAATCACCCTGGGTTTTAGTTGCCTGTTTGCTGGCCTATCTTTTCTGCAACTCTGGGAGTTTTCCAGGCTGGAAATTTCACTTTTCTTTTCATATCCCATGGGCTGCATAGTATCTGGTACCTATTAAGTTTTCAAAAATAGTTGACATTAGGGAACCAGCAGTTAGCGTAATGGCTATGTTGCTGGATTCCCACGTAGTCGACCGCAGTTCACATCCTGGACCCGGTGGCTTAGAACTCACGCCGGGCGCGTGTGCGTGCGTGCCCAAGATCCCAAGAGGAGAATGGAGGAGAAGGGATTGCAGCGTGACCATCCCCCCTGGGGGGTGATTTCTCACTTTCTGTCTCTCTGTCTCTCTCTGTCTGTCTGGTGAGCGCACGCGCCCTATAGCAAAAACCTCTCTCTCAAAAAAAAAAAAGTTGACATTAGAAATTATACACTTATTAAACTTGATTCCTGCTCTGGGTAATTGATAGAACAATCTTGTACCGCCCTGGCCCAACTCACAGCAAATATTGAGGCAAAGGATGAAGATATATTCTCTCCTGACTGAAATGAATTTATCGTTCATTCAATAGCTATTGATTGAGCACCTTTGGTGTGTCAGGTACTCCCCTAAATTCTGGGTACCCACTCTCATCTTCAAACAGTTAATCTTCTGATTAGAATGGAAAATCAGAAATTCCACATCATGTTTAAAGACACTAAGAGGTGAAGTGGTAGAAGACAGGCAGGCTCCCATGCTGGGGCAAGGGAGATAAGTGTCTGGATGATGACCTGCACTATGGCAAAGGGAAAGGGGAAACAGTAAAGGGCAGCATCCCAGGAGGAGGGACAGCCAATGGGATGCCTTTCTAAGCAAGGAAATGTCTCTGCAGACTTGGGAAATTTGACAGTACACTTATGACTCCCTCCTCAGACTGAAGGAAATTTGGCACAAAGTGAGAACATTTTTAAAAAATCAACTAAGAGGCATTTTGAGACATCCTTTGTACCCAGGTGCCCATACTGGCCACCGCATGGAAGAAGGAATTCTAAAAGGAGCCATTGTTTCATCGTGTTGTTAACATATCTGATCCTCTTCCCTAAAGCAGTAAAAGGTCTTCTGGGCCCCTGGCTTCGACCCCCTAACTGAGCCTTGATATGATTTCTGCCAGCGTTTGGAAGAGTAGGAGTCAGCAGTAAGGAATTGCAATAAAGCCTGCAGCATTTCTCTGGAATTTTTTCCCTTTTTTTGCTCTAGGGCAAGTGGAATTTTAGGAGCACCAGAGTTAGTATTAGACATTTGAGTTTTTAAAAACATCAGCATTTGAAACAATCAGTTTTCCAAAGTAATTCTGAGATGATGGAAAAGACCCAGCAACAATTCTAAACTCACCTTGGTTTTTCAGAAGGCACCAGCAAGTATTCCTCCACATCGAGGCCCGACAGATTCAAGAGGGTATGGCCCTGGTGGTTGGTCAGATAGGGCGCCCTGGAACTCGGACATTTCTGTAATTGTTTTCAATGAGATAAAATGGAAACTTATTTACAAACCACAAACAGGTTGCTGACATTACCTTACACTAAATATGACTTTTCCTGGTTTTCATATCTACAGCCTTTTATATGTTCTGATTTCCAAAATCTCTAAGAGTCATCTATATTTCAGAATGATGCCAACATTCCACTCTGACCTTTGCTGTCAGTTATATTTGAGAACTTCAAATCTTTTTTCTATCTGTAAGTCTGGGCAGATTTGTAAGAACTAGAAAGGGAAATATTTTCTTCAGGGGGTTCTTTCATTTGATGAACTGAGAGTCAGAAGCAATGGAAGAGAGAAGAAGACGCAGGAGAATTCAAAGGCTCGTTTGTGTTTCCAAAGTGTCGAAAGTAGGAATCAAACAGTCCTTGTGCAGTGACTCACTAGAGTACAAGCCATGGCTCTGCATTCTAAGACAACCAGCAGACGAGGCAGGAGTCAGGAGCCTCCCAACCTGAAGGCCTAGGGCAGCTGGGAGGCCTCACAGCCATGACCTGTCTGCCAGGGACAGGATCAAACTCAATATGCTTATTTCCATTTCTCAGAACAATTTAGGGAAGAGCTTATGTTAAAATAGGAAATGACTCTGTCTCTGAACCTTTCAACTTTCAAAGCTTGTCTTCTCATTTGCGAAATGGAATTAAAAATAGTCTTGCCTAATGCACGGGTATGTTGATAGGTGTAGATAGACATGAAAGAACTATGCAAAAATAAGAAGGGTTATATAAATGTAAAGTATCACTTTTACATTCTTGGTAGAAAAGCCTGGCTAAAGACACTTGAAAAAATAATAATTATAAATTATAATTAAACCAGTTACTAATATGAGGGGGTCTTCATAAAGCTCATAAAAAATGCATATTATGAAAAAAATATACACAGATTTCAAAATTTTTTGCATCAAGACAAACTCATACTTTAATTTCGTTTTTTTTTTTTCACAGAGTTTTTTGAATTCTTCTGATATGTGGAATCTTAAAAATCAAACTTACAGAGACAGCTAGTTAAACGGAGGTTTCCAGAGGCTGGGGGTGGAAATGAGAGGCATTTGGGAGAGGTTTTCCAAGGAAATGACATTTCACTTGCACAGGAGAAAGAAGTTTAAAAAAAATCTATCGTACAACATGGTAATTACAGTACATAATGTATAATGCATACTTGGAAATTGCCAAGAGGGTAGATTTTAAATGTTTTCAACACACACACACACACACACACACACACACACACACAAATGTATGCGCTACAACGCATATTAAATAGCTGGATCTAGCCATTCTTCAACATGTACATACATTAAAACATCATGTTGTATGCTATAAATATATATCATTTCCACCTGTCACTTCAAATAAGCAAATAAATAAATCAGCCAAATTCAATGATCTCACTCACAGATTAAGATAACAACCTTGAAATTTCCCTTCCTCCAGGTTTCCTTTATAACCCATCTTACCACTGCATTAAGCTGCATCTTTCTAAAATGTTATTTCATTTAGATGACCCCATACTGAAAAAAGTCAAATTTTTAATCCAGAATTTAAGTTTACTTGGAAAGTCCTCAGTCTCTTTTTTACCCTTTATCTTTTGGTTCTCCCTGAATACATAAACTGACTAGTGACCAGAACAAAATTCAGCCTTCATCTCTGGAAGATGGACATGCTACCTCATGTGGCAAAGATGTTGTAAATAAAATTGAGTTACAGATCTCGAGACTGAGAGATCATCTGAGATCATCAGGGTGAGCCCCACTGCTGTTACAAATTAACATATCCCTACAAGACAGAGAAGAGGAAGAGGCACTACGACCAGGGGCAGAGTGGGCTGACGTAGCCACAAGCCAACAAAAGCTGGACAAGGAAAGGAACAGATCCTTTTCTAGAGCCTTTTGAGCGAGTACCTGTAAAACTGATTTCAGTCTTCTGGCCTCCAGAACCACGTAAGCATAAATTTTTATTTTTTTTTAAGTTAGCCAGTATATGGTGATTTATTAACTGTAATCATGAGAAACACACCCTCATGCCTGCTTTTTCTTTTAGAATTATTTTATTTAACTTTATTCATCATCATCATCATCATTACTATTATTATTTGACCAGAGAGAGAGGAAAAAGAGAAAGCAAGCCACCAGGTCTGGGACTCAAACCATGGTCGGCCATGTGGGAGTCCAGCATCTTAACTGCTGGACCACCTCCTGGCCCCTCCTGCTTATTCTTCAGAGCTAGTTTACTTCCATTCCCCTGGGGACCTTCTCTAATGGTGCCTCTTCCAAATTAAATTTCTGTACTCTAAACAATTTGATAAAAACCAATCTGGAAATGTTTTTGTAGGTTTGGAGAGAGCTATGGTGTACTTGGTTGAAATAGGAGGAAAGAGATATATCTCCCCAGACCCAAGACTTCCAAGTGAATTTAAAGGGAGAGAAATATTTTGTTTTCAGACAAAACAAAACCGCCTGGTCTCAACATGTTCACTAAAACTGAGGGAACTGGACTCAGCTTGGGCCTTTCTGTCCCACACTTTGGTGTTCATCTTGAAGCCAGCCCTGAAGAGTAATACCCACTCTTTGGGACTTTTATTAATTCTACATCCACTTCCTCTCTTGTGAGGTCCTCTGATTTCTAACATATGAATTAGGATTTCACAAGGTGTGTCCCCTAAAATATGGGTGTCATAAAAAGGGTTCTTTAATCACATGATGTGCAGAAAATGCTGGATCTTTTCTACCCTGCTGTCAATTCAAGTACACATTATCATATAGAGCATCTTAGAAGAGCTGCAACAACTTAATATTGCTTTATCAAGCACTTCTGAAGCTTATTTGGCTATGAAACTTTTTCCCATGAAAATTTTTTCTTACAGATATATTACTGAAATTTTATAGTTTATGTGAGTAGGAATGAATTTTAAAAAGTGAACATTGATTATTCTGAAATTTATACATTCACTTTTTATCCATGACATTTAATCCAATTTCAATAATCCAGGTAGTGATGCAGTGGTAACAGCTGGATCCAGGTGTGAATGATGTTGGATTCTGGTCCCGTGACTTTCCTGACCAAACCACTGGGAGTGCATGCATTGTCCCTGATCCAGGGCAGCTCAAACTGGTGGTGGATCACAGCATAAAGATTCTTTTAGAACTCTCTCTCTCTTTCTCAGAAGAAATTAATAAACTTAAAAAAAAAAACAATAAGATACAATAGAGTGATTAAATCAAGACTGAAGAATAAGAGCAAGGAGCGAAAAATTAATGGTTCATGAGTCCATAGAAGAAACGAAACAGAAAAAAATAAATAATCATATCCAAAAATAATACCTGAGCAAAAGACAGTTGGTCACTGTAAACATTTATGTGAGTTTATTGACCACTGAAGCCAAAAGGGAAACATGGAACTTTCTATCTGTCCTCTTGGGTTAAGCAAAGCTTTAAGTGTCCATCAGGGGTCCTGTGTCATTACTCTCTTACATTCGTATCTCTGTCTAAGAGAAGAAAGCAGACCAGGCCCTCCACAAGCAAACTTTTTAACATCACTGTATTTTTGAGATGCTTCCCCAGGGCCACTGAATAGGAAAGCCCATCAGCAGGTTTATCATGTAGCCATTTGCTTTACAGATCCTCACTTAATATTTTTCCTTTTTTTTCTGTTCTGTAAATTAGGATTGCCACGTTAGTTTGTGGATGCTGGTCAACAGGTCCTTATTAATTAGTCTTTGGTATGTCCTTGGGGACAAGTTCCAATCACTTTTACAAGTAAATTTCAGTTTGTTCTCTTCTACAGACTAGAAAGTTGTGGTTCTCATTTTGGTGGAGAAATACCCAGTTCCAAATGCTTTTACACCAGCCAAGTGGCATCTTTGCTCTATCTATCACTCAGAACTCAAATAAAAATATGACAAGAGCTTTGAGGTTATTTTTGAGAAAATTTTCCTCCAAAAGGCAATTCTAGCTTCCTCACGATCAATTGAAGAAGATTCAGTTAATGACCCAGGGCAGCAGCAGTGAAGAGGGACACTGCCCAGTGGATACAACATCCCTATTAGACAGATGTCCACTTTATGTGATAAAACTTTTCCCAGAAATAGCTAATCAAGTGAACCAAAAAATCAGAGAGACTCAAATACCCAAAATAAAGATTGTTACAGATGAAATAAACTCAAGTTTGTCACCTGAGGTTTAGAGGTTAAAACAAAAATGCTGAAGAAACATACCCGACAGCCACATGAACCCTGGAAGTCAGGGTGAACAGAGGGATCCACATGCCAGCATGAGGAATTCTTCCTAAAAAACAAAGGAGAGACCTGAAGTGATCTTTCAGATTACAAAGCTACTGTATTTCTATAAAAGAGCGTTCCATCAGACTACACCACAGTTCACAAGAGAATTCCCTTCCACTGTCACAACAGCAGGGCACTTACATTTGTTTTCACAGCTTGAGCTGCTAATCCAGTGACAATGTTTTATGGCAACGACAGTGATGCCATTATGACACACTAGGTGTACTAGGCTCCCCGCATAGAATGGGCAACAGAGTTTCTTGGGACTTTGGTGGGGGTCCCTGGGCTTGTGGTGAATCCTGGGGCCTCCCAGACTTACAATCAGGTAACAGCACTTAGTGAACACATGGTCCTTTTTGTGGCATGACACAGAAAGTTAATCATCATTTACAGAAAAACAATGATTAATTGTTCATTTTGAATAAAGACTGTGCAACAGAAATAGATGAACTGGCAGCAATAGTTTGAATACCTTTTTAACTCCAGAGTTCCTGTATAGTTTTTTTGTTGTTGTTGGTTCCCCTCCCCACCCTGGGGTGGGGTTCCTACTGAAGCATTTTTTTTCCTGATATTTGTAAATCAAAATTTTCTCTAGTTATGTGTTCTCTCTCTTTTTTTTTTAATTGCCAATGACATGTGCACTTGACAGACAAAAAGAGAGAGCAACCCTCCTTTAGCCCCCAATGGGGCATGGTCACGCTGCAATCCTTTTTCCTCTGTTCCTCTATTTTCCTCTATTTCTGTATCCTATCAGGGTTTGGGGCATGCACACTTACCCAGAATATTTGTTCAAGCTGCCAGGGCCAAGATTTGAACCATGGTTGGCCATGTGGGATTCCACCCCCATTGCATAGTATTTCACCACTGCACTATGGGGCCAGTCCAATGGTAATTATTTGTAATTACTCAAAAGTAGTGAAAGAAATGAGGAGGCTAACGTTTACTGGGTCATAGGCACTGCTTAGATATTTTATCAAAACACATGGCTTACTCAGAAGAGTAAGCAGAGGTTCTGAGAGGCCAAAATGTTCTCCCTGCAGAAGAATGGGCTGCAGTTCTCAACTCAGGTTCTGCTGCTCTGATTTGCAAGCCAGCATGACAACACAGCAACACCATATAAGAAAAATCCAGCCCAGATGAAAAGAAATTTGCTGTTTCTGTTAGCTAGTTACCAAAGTACAATTTCAAAAATAATCCATATGCCAAGCAGCACTAGGGTGTTCTTGTTGCCACCGCTACTCAGCAAATAGACCGTGTGGGAGGTAGGTTCAATTATTTGCCCACGCTAGCACTGGGTGTGGCAGCATGAATCTGCAGTCACAGCTACAAAGGAGGCTGAGGGAAGAAAATCACAACACAGTGAGACCCTGTCCAAAAAATAAATTAAAATTGGGGCCAGTAGGTGGAGCAGAGGTTAAGGCACTGGATCCCACATGATCAACTGCAGTTCAAGGAGTAGAAAATCACACTAGGCATGTGTGTGTGCATGCCCGAAATTCCAAGAAGAGGAGAAAGAATTGCATCCTGGTCATCCCCTCTGGTGGGTGATTTCTTACTTTCTCTCTCTATTTCTCTCTTACTCTGTCTCTCTCTCTCTCTCTTCTCTCTCTGTGACAAGTGCATGCTACCTATAGCAAAAACTAATATAAATAAATAAAAAATAAAGATTACTCCAGTGGTTTCTGGTTTCTTGGCTGATTAGCTCAGTAGGCTCCAATGTGAGACTTAAAAGCTAACATGGAAATATTAATGCCTGTATTTATCATACCAGAGGTATGTATGTATTTTATCAGAGTGTTGCTTCTGACCATTACTTTTTAACGAAATAACTCTTTATGTTTATGTTTCTAAACTTCAGTAGGCCCCACTTGCTTCAGATGCATTCTTTTTTTTTTTTTTTTTTTTTGAAGGGGTTTTGTTTACGCCTTTTTTTTTTTGAGAGGTTTTTGCTATACGGCACATGCACTCCCCAGGAAGACAGAGAGAGACAGAGAGACAGAAAGCGAGAAATCATCCCTGAGGAAGGGGGATGGCTATACCACAATCCCTTCTCCTCTATTCTCCTCTCAGGATGTTGGGCACACACACCCAGCGTGAGTATCAACCTCTGGGTCTGGGACTCAAACTGCAGTCGACTACATTGGGAGTCCAGGGACACAGCCATTACACCAACTGCTGGTCCTCAGATGCATTCCTTAGATGACAGCTAGCAAGTGCTTATAATTTCATGAATTACTTCAAAAAGCTAGTCTTTTTCTCTTTTAAATCTTTCATTTTTCTTCTTCTATCTCCTCTTTATAGAGTAAGCATATGTAGCCATCAGTATTACATCACAGATTTCAGTTTTTAGAGTATCTCTCAGCCTCCAACATGTATAATATTTGTGTTCAACAAAGGATCCCTATGCTTACGTATGAGCATTCTTGAAAGAGACAGACATATGGGACACTCTGTTAGGTTTTAGAAGTCTCTGTGTAAATTTCCTTCCAGATTTAGGGAACCTAACATGCTCCTTTGACTAAAAGAAGTATTTCCTTAAAGTGCTCTCCAGGACATGACCGTGGTGATGATGTTCCAGGGTAAATATGTCTGTAACATGGTCACTCAGTCCTTAGGTTTGTAGATGGTGGATTAACTAGGTCTCTTGAATGTACGGCTGCCTGGAGTTTTCAATAGTCTAACGCACATTTTAAATCTCCAAGAACAAGACAGATGCGCTGAGGATCTCCTCCCTTGAGAGTAGAACTGTGAGATAGAAACTACGTAAAGGGAACAAATTCTCCATGAAGGCTACCCTGGTACTGAGGTAAACACTGTTCTTTCATCAGAGCTGGGAGCATGAAGCAAACTGGTGTAGCAAGAGGTTCAGAAAGTTGCCCAAGTCCCACAGCTGATGAGAGGTGGAGTTGAGGTTTGGATTCAGGCAGTCTGGTCCACTAAATCATGATGTCTACTGTACACAGTCTCTATACTTTCACCTTTGACCTCAACTTTTTGACCCCCTCATAGGGGACCTGTCATCAGCCAGGACAGGCTTGAAGGATGGTAGCTCATAACCGTGCACCAGGATAACAGGCCTTCTAGACCTTTCTGAGCATGGCAAACATCAAGCCCTGAGATGATGCGTCACATTGTTGTCACCAAATCATGGTGATAACTTCTCAATATTGTGAAAATAAACCTTATATGCCTTCCCACATGGTTCTTTAATATCACATTTGCAAACTATGACTTTCATTCTGCATTAAAACCTTGAGAAAAATGTGTGGGGGAAACAGCCATCTTGCCTGAGAAGCAGCAGAGGAATCCATCGCTAAAGCACCACAAGACTTGTAAAGTGAAACAGAATATGTAAATCGACCAAGCAGCTTCTAAAAGTTGGCAACTTCACCACATTTTAAAATTTAAATGATGTATCATCTACTATTATGAGAAGTCTTGTGTTTTAAGTGAGGTTTATGCCACAATAGATTTTTCTAGAGCCCTTTACTGTCTTCTGGAAGAGAGGGAGATAAGAGTCAAAAGTTCAGCAGAACACCATGTTGAACACGGAGTTGAGGCTCTTAAACAGAAAATCTATTATTTTTTCAAGTTACTTCTTCCATGAGAGAGAGGGGAGAGCAAGGAAGAGAGAGAGAGACTCCTCATTGGGGTCTTTACACCATGATACACTCCTAACTTCGGCCAGGATCACAGACATATGTTGCCTGACGTACAGAGGAAAATCTCAAGGCATGTATTTTGAATCTCCCCATGTGGCTTCAGTATCACAGAACACTGCATTATCCTGGTACCACTGCAACTGGCCTCTAATCTATCATTTTTAAAATGTTTTCTATAGTCAACAATCAAGTGATTGCCAAAGTCGGCCAGGAAAATGAAGTGTAGATATCATTGAATTAAATAATATTTTACACTTACTAAAAGAAATTGCCTTGTTTTAAGGAAAATGTTTTGCTTGGATTGGAGACCCTCGTGAATCAAACCTGTGTGTGTAACACAGGCAGAGATTACTGCAAATGCAGGTATTCACAGCACCCTTGCCCGAGGCGCCCCCTCACCTCCAGCCTTTTGCTATGTTGACCAGGAAAATGGGTAGAAATGGTTATAAGATGGGAATGACTGTTTTTTTTTTTTAGTGGTTCAATTTTTTAATGGTATAGATTATATAGAATAAAACTTCCTTAAGCTGATACCAACAAAAAAGCCTGACATAATCATTAATGCTAATATATATTCATTTAAAAGTTTAATATTGAGAAAAAACAGTTGATGGCAAGAAAGTCTATCACTTTGGGATAGACCATAACACTGTGGTTAGAAATATTCATATTAAGAAACTTACGAGCACAAATGTACTTGTACTTAGTGTGGAAGCTCCATAATTTATCATTATATCATAGGAATGACTGAGGATAAACTGAATTTTACAAAGGAGGAAATAAGAACATAAACCAGGGAGGTGGAAGAAAGGGCGGAGGAGAAAAGGAATGTGTGTGGCTGTATGCTGGGCTGCAGCAAAGAGCTCCCTCTGGAAACACAAGGAGATAGAAAGCTTGGGGAGCCTCTGCCATGACGTGAAAGTAGTGCAAGTGAAAACTGATGTCCAAACAGAATTTTAAGTCTATTTTGCTGTCCTTTAAGAACTGATTCCATCTTTTTTTCTGTCCTCTTGAGAGACTAGATAAAAGAACCATCTCTTTTCTGTTAACTAGTTTTTCTTTGATGCAATGTTGGGCCGGGGCTGTACCACCAGGGACACACTAGGTTACATTTCAGTTTCTCAAAGTAGGTGTATTTTAGTCCTGCATGTTTCATTAAAGGAAGAAAAAAAAAATCAACCCTGAAGCCTTAGTTAAATAAATTGTTTTGTTTTTCAAGAAAAGACTAAAGTGAAGCAACATAATTAATTTTCTATTAATTCCTCCTTACTGAGACCATTAATAATAGTTCAATCTGAAACTAATTACCAGCATGACTAATGGGCAAAATGTGTCATCTCAAATTAGAAAGCATATTGCCAAATGGCATTATTGTCTCAGTTTCTATATTTATTACTTAAAAACAGAGATTTCCAGCACTTAATATACCACTAGGGTTTTATCGCATATTTCATTTGTTCTATCAAGAACTGTAAATCCTTGAGACTAGGGCCATGTTCCTTATTCATCTTACTTCTTCCAGTGTCACTTTATTTATGGTAAATTCTTAATAAATACCACTTAAGGCAAGTAAAAGATAAATCAATTTATAAAGGACTTGGTTTCTCAAGCATTCATGGAAAGAGCATTTCATATTACCATTTTTTAAAAGAACTATTTATTTAATTTTATTTATTATTATTATTAATCGGCTATGGGCATGTGTGCTCACCAGAGAGACAAGAGAGAAAAAGAGAGAGAAAGCAAACTGTCAGGTCCAGGACTCAATCTGTGGTCAGCCAAGTGGGAGTCCAGCGTCTTAACCACCATGCTACCTCCTGGCCCTCTATAATACCATTTTTACATCTTTAAAATAGTATCTTTGGGATCAGCAGTTAGCATAATGGCTATGTCACTGAGCTCCCATGTAGCCGACCGTGGTTCAAGTCCCGGACCTGGTGGCTTAAACTCACACTGAGCGTGTGTGCGTGCGCGCCCAAGACCCTGAGAGGAGAATGGCGGAGAAGGGATTGCAGCATGGCCATCTCCCCTGGGGGATGATTTCTCACTTTCTATCTCTCTGTCTCTCTCCTCTGTCTTTCTGGCGAGCGCACGCGCCCTAAAAGAAAAAAGGAAAGAAAAGAAAAAATAGTATCTTTAAAGTAATTCACCCCCCATTAAAGTATTGACCATTTAAGTCTCTTAAATTAAAAGAAGTTAAAATTAAGTTTAAAAAATTTATAATTAATCTTACATGTGTGAGATTTCTCGAAAAGTAAATAACACTTAATGCATGAGTCATACGTAAGTGCTACTGAACTTGTTTTAGCTTTCAGTTTTACTAAGCAAACTGATGTAGTTAATTATTAATTAATTTATTTTGCAATAATGCAGAGTATGTTGGACAGAGGAGAAAAGGGGCAATTTGGGAGACTTTTTCAGATCATTTTAGATGGTGACACCCTAGAGAGAGCGATAACCTACCTATCAGGCTAATACCCTGCAATGTAAATTGCAACATTAAATAACCAATAATGGAGGGAAACAGTCCACCCAGTATCTGGTGTTACTGGCTGGAAGTCAGGTTTGCTGACGACTTCCAGTACTTACAGGTGTGGCTTTAAATTGGCACAGAGCAGGTCTTGGTCTTCAAACTTGCGCAGCAGCATGTGGGTGAGGTTCGTGTCATCACTCTCACTGCTGTTCATTGTAAGACAAAGAAATAAAATGGGATTGTGAGTATTCCCCAATGGCGATCACAGGACCATATTCTGACCTTACCGAGCAAACGAGTCCAAGTGACTCATATATAAAGCTAATTTTTTGCTATTTTTATGGAAAGGCAAATGAGCAATAACATTGAAAAATTTCTTAAAAACAGTTCTACCACCACAAATATGCATGTTTACATATTCACATTCACAGTGCATTATTTTTCTCATCTTTTCACTTAATATTACAGCATAACCATTTTTCACATATTTGCATGGTTTTTAAAACAAATTTCAAGGGTTGCTTAATATTACATCATGTTAATATATTAAAATCTGTAAAACTATTCTCAATGTCAGAGCTCTGGGTTGGCCTCAGTATTCATTCTGTTCCATAGCCCTGCAATAGAACAACTGCAAATGTTTATACCTTTTTTTAAAAATACGCAAACTATGGTGGACTGCATTTTCCAAACAGATTCTATTTCACTTTTTTTTTAACTGTAAGGGGCGTATGTGCTAACCAAAGAGGGACAGAGAGACAAGGAGAGAGAGGAGGCACCTCCAATGGGATGTGATTATGACTCAATCTCTTCCTTTCCATTTATTTAACCTGTAGGGATTCTGAGTACATGCAAAAATTATATGTTGGGACTAGGATGTGAACTGTGGTCAGTCATGTAGGATCCAGCTCCCTTAACCACTAGGCCACTGGGCCAGGCTGAATTGCATTTTCTCAGTAAGAAGTTATCAGCCCAGAATCCTATATGTGTTTTAATTACACATTTAATTATAGTGTTTATTTGGCAGAAGTTTCAGGCATCTATTGATGGTTCAAGCAGCATAACAAAAAAACAAGGCCACTAATACTGCATACTCATTCTGAAGATGCTATCAATAACGAGACACATCATCTCTGTGGCTTTGGGGAAGGTGTGGAAACAGACTGTATTAAATTTCACACATCAATTATAAGAAACATCTTGACTTGAAAAAAATGTAGATAAAAAGATATTTTAGACCTCTCTAAATTGGACTGATTGGGAGATGTCTTATTTCAATTCATTAAAATTCTGAATTACATTACTGGTTGAGAACTGCTAATACAAACATCCCAAATTTTGGCCCAGTATCAGTGCTGTAGCTGAGAGTGTTGAACTGCAGAGCTGGACGCCACATGGCTGACTGTAGGTGCAAATCCTTAGCCCAGGGGAGCTGATACATGCTCAGTGCTCATGAGTCCAAGATCTTGAAGACCTTGAGGGTTGGGGGAAGGTGACTACAGCATGACAAAACGCTGTCTAGGGTGCCTATCTTCTCTGTGGACCCCCTCACCCACCCCTTTCATCTAGATGTGCATACTCTATCATGACTAAAACAAGTAAATCAATTTGTAATGTTTTAATCCAAAATCCGAAATGCTCCCAAATCTGAAATTTTTGAACACTAATGTAATATTACAAGTAGAAAACTCCACACCTGACCTGAGGTTATGGGTTGCAGTCAAAACATGCAATGTAAAAATATTGTATAAAATTACCTTTAAGCCGTATGTATAAGGTGTATATGAAACATAAAGGAATTTCATGTTTACATTTGGAGCCCATCCTGAAGATATACGCAAACATTCCAGTACTTGAAAACAAATCTAAAAATCTGAAACATTTCTGGCCCCAAGCATTTCAGATAAAGGCTATTCAATCTGTATTTATACTTTAAAAAAGTAGATTTATTACTTTCCAGGACTTTAATTGTATCAGTTCAAAAATACTTTACAGTCCAGTCAGTGGTGTGGTGGCAAAAGCAGCTAGATCTCACATGCTCAATTGTGAGTTGAGACCCAAAAGCTGGAAAAACATATCAGGCACGTGTGCATGTGTTTCCAAAATCCTAAAAGGAGAAATGAAGGAGAAGGGATGGCAGTGTGGCATTTTCTCTCCCCTCCACTATCTCTGTCTGTCTCTTTCCAGTGAGCACACACGCCCTCTAGCAAATTTTTAAAAATAATAATACTTTTGAGTACACATTATTTGGGGATGCTTGTCCTCAAAATAATGTTATATAATTAGTCTATAATACTAATTATATGTAAATAGTGACCTTAACTCTTTTTGGTAAGAATAATAAATTAGTTGGCTGCATGTTCTGGGGTTCAATATTCTGTCCCATTGTTCTATGTGTCTGTTTACATATACATATTTATATATATTTATATTTTGTGAAGAATGTCTCCTGCAGTTTGATCAAAACTGCATTGAATTTGTAAATTAATCTTGTTATGGTTAATATTTTGATTATATTAATTCTCCCAATCCAGGAACATGGGATGTCTTTCCACTTCTGCTTATCATGCTCAATTTCTGTTTTCAATGTTTCAGTTTTTCTTGTAGATGTCTTTCACCTCTTTAGTTATGTTTATTCCTAGGTATCTTATTTTTCTGTGGCTAGTGTAGATGGGATTGAGCTCTTCAATTCTATCTTAGTCTGTTCATTGTTGTTGTATACAAATGCTATAGATTTTAGTATGTTGATTTTGTATCCTGCCACTTTTCTGAATTCATTTATCATTTCCACAAGTTTTTTCTATGTAAATTCTTTTGGATTTTCTATGTGTATAATTATATCAGCTGCAAATAGGAATAATTTCACTCCTTTACCTATTTGAATGCCTTTTCTATATAATAGCAGGGAGGGTGAATGTAGGTACCAGAGACTGTAGAGGAGACGGTGGGAAGTAGGGGTAGGAGGGAGAGGTTCAGGAAAGAAATCTAACAGACACAAGAATGTAAAGTTATCTGTTGAAAATAATATATAGAGAGAGAAATATCTTTGACTCAATTGGCATGCACTTCATGCTTGCTTTGAAAAACCTATATGCTGTAAAGATATATTATAAACAAATGTAAATTTAAAAAAATAATAAGGAATTGTGTATAGAAGTGGTTATATACTGAGTGTCTGCACTCTATGACTGAAACTGATTGAATAAAGGATATAGAAACATAGTGTTGGAATTCAGCAGGTTCCCAAAAATAATTTGTTGAACACATTGTGATATATTATCAATATGTTGAAATTGTCAATTTAATCCTTTATCTCTATCCAATCATTTTGCTTCACTAACTATGGACTTCCTTGACCTTTCATCATTCAAATAGGAATAAAAGTTTATAAGAAAAAAAAAATAGAAAGCCAATTCCAAGATGGCCAACCATGATTCAAGTCTCTGCCTAGACTCCTTAAAAAACAGGTTGGGGCCAGCAACTGGCATGTGGCATGGTAGTTAAGGTACTAGATTCCCACACAGTCAACTGTAGTTCTAGTCCCAGACCTGACGGCTTGAAAATCATGCTGGTCACATATGCATGTATGGCCAAAATCTCAGGAGGAGAATGCCGGAGAGGGAATTGAGGTGTGGTCAATCCTCCTGAGAGGTTGATTTTTCACTTACCCCCTGTCTCTCTCCTCTCTGGTGAGTGCACACATTTTAAGGAAGAAAGCTTAAAAATAAAAATAATAAAATAAAATAAAAGCCAGGCATGTATTCTTATGTACCCTAAATCCCAAGGAGGTTAGAGAAATAGAAGCGATGGTAGTGTGACCACACCCCACTGGGGTGCTTTCTCACTATCTTTCTCTCTCAGTCAAGTGCATGCACCCTCTGGCAATCGAAAAAGACTGAAACTCATTATACCAAATTAGTATTGTATTTCTGCGGAGAATGACTTTGTTTTCAGAGCTGTGACTATGTATAAACTTAGAATGTAAATATATCTCTACCATCCAAAAACAGAAAGAAATAACCACTTGTGGGTAAACACTTTGTTCTTCATTTTTTATATAACTATAATACAAATTTTTGAAATATTTAGGTGGCTTAGAACTGGCCTAATAGGATTTCTTACCTCTATGACCAGAAATACACAATGATGGGGCAGGCTGAAATTTACAACTGAGTAATGTCTCCTGAGTAGGCAGTGTGACCTCTGCATAAATAGCCTTCAGGTTTCCAACAAATTAGAAAGCACTTTTACAAGGAAAGGAACAAACTTACCACTGAAATGTGGCCTATAAAAAAGGAAAATGTTATTTGTGGCATCTTTGGAAATATGCGGGACTGCTCTCCTATGACCCATTAATCCAAGACCAAACAGGAAAGTTTAAAATATTTTTCTGAGAAAATATTTTATCCATAACGTAGTTTGCTTGCGGTAATTACTAAGAACAAGTTTGAAAGTTATGGTTTACTTTTATTACTGTTTTTTAACAAAAAAGACTTTAAAGTATCTCAGTTGTCTAGGGAAAGCATTGTAAGGTAACGTTTTCTGTCGAATGAAATCAGCAGTGATCCATGAAGGGTCCGAGATTTGTCTAGAAATGAGCAGGACATGAGTACTGTTCTGAGTGTCCACACCTGCTGCATTTACATCCTCTCTACTGCTATCATGCCAGTGGACTCCAGAAGGACTTTCTTTCAACTTGTGTAACATTTTCTGACTTTCAGATTTTACTGATCATGCTAGTGAGCCGATCAAAATAATGTTTGCGATCCCTACTACTATTGATTTTGCCCTTGGAGCAAGCTGAATAAAGCAACAAGATGAACAAAAATAAATAAAATATTTCGGTTGTCAAATAATTCAAATACTTGTTCCTAAATGAGCCCTCTGATTATCTTCAAACTCTTTACTATATTTAAAAATAAATCTCAGTGTTAGAAGCATTTGACATCTGTTCTTACGACAGTCTAGGAATTAAAAGTTACTGCTTAATTTGGATTCCTACGGCAGTCCATTGAAGTGACCCAGGGAGGTTGCTTGAACAACTGTGCATTTCCAAGCACCATCTTAAAAAGTCTTACTGTTGACAAGAACCCCTGGTGATTCTGATGCAAAAGGGTCAAACCAACCTTGAGAAACACTGGGGCTTCTGGGAAGACAACCACCTGTACTCTCTCACCTTTGATTCCTCTGCTTGCACCTGCAAGTT